TAGCTAAAGCATGCTTATGTGACCAACTCACCATAAGATACTCTCACCATGAGCAGGCTTCCTGGTACTGAGGTGCTTCACACACCTGGAGACAACGTCTATCCTGTGTGACCCAGAAATTCAAGGACAAAGAAGTTTGCACCTGAGATTTCTGGGCCCCTTTAAATTCATGTCCATTTTCTGCTGCTACTGTACTATATAGAGATGTCTATTAGACAGTCAAGTGGAGATGCAGAATTTGGATTTTTATATGTGATTTTGGATTTTGAGGGAAATATACATATTTGGACGTCATAAGCATACTGATGTTATTTAAAGCCGTGGAAGTAGATGAAAACAGAGAAGAGGCCCGAGGACTGAGCCTGGGTCCCTCCAACATTGACCAGGAGGAAGAGGAGACGCCAGCAAAGGAGGTGAAGAAGTGGTGACCAGTGAGCTGGGAGAAGCACCAGGAATGTATGGTGCCCCAAGAGATGGTAAGTTAAGTGTTTTAAGAAAGAAAGAATGATCAACCATGTCAAATGCTGCTGAGAGCGAGATGCGATCTGAGAGTTGATCATAGGATTTGGTAATATGGAAATCACTGGTAACCGCAATAGACGGGTTTCCAATGAATTGGATTAAAGAGAGAATGGAACATATGGCAAAGAGAGGCCAACTGGACAATTCTTTGGAGGAATTTTTTGAGGAAATGAGAGGCCACGAGAGGGATTTTTTTAAATGGGAGATATTACAGTATGTTTTTATGATGATGTAAGCAATTAAGTAGGGAAGAAAAAAAGTGACAGTGCATTATCACTTGTCTCTTGCAAAGTCTGAGAGTGAGCAAGAGGGAATGGGATCCAGGACCCAAGTGGAGAGGTTGGCTTTAGCCAGGAGCATCAGCAGTGCATCCATAACCGCAGAGAGAAGGAGGGTGTGTGGGTGGGCAGATGTGGTGATGGGAGCCTGCAGATGGTCTTATCTGATGGCTTCTATTTCCCGGGTGAAATAGGAAGCAATATCATCAATTAAGAGGGTGGATGAGAGAGAGGGGTTGGAGATTTAGAGAGAGAGGAGATAGTGTGAAATTGATTGGAAACGTAAAGGCCCACTTGATAATTGTTGTCAAGAATTTAAAGTGACACCAGTCAACATGGTGTTGTATGGTTTTTTCCCTCTTCTCTAAATTGTACTTGGGTATAAATGCAGAGTAAATGGAGAGTTGGATTTACCTGGGGGTGAGTAGTCAGGTGAGTATGTCAGAGAGAGGAAAGATAATCAAAGGAGATGAGAATGCATGCACTACATCATGATGGCAGCTTTGGAATCTAAGCCGGGGCAGGAGAGAAGTGAGGACATGAGGAATGTGAGGGACAGAGCAAGGGTCAATCCTTAGAGATCCCAGTGCAGTCATAGAATTGTTGGAGTTAGAGAACTGTTAGAGGGAATGCCATGGAAAGATATGAGGTGGTGTTCAAAGAGTGAGGTGCTTAGAATTGAGGCTTTGGAAGTGGTGGAGTTATTAGTAATGACAAGTCTAAGGTATGGCCCTGGGAGTGGTAGCTGAAGTGAGACAGAGGACGGACGAGATCTTTGCAGGCAATGACATTAAGGAACTGAGAAGTCAGGATGCTGGTAGATTGTCTACATAAATACTGAGGCCACCAAGAATGACGACTCCAGTAGTGGTGGAAAAACAGTGAGTCAGGAGCCAAGATCTTCCTTGAATGAAGGGCAGGGACAGGAGAAGGGAGGAGCAGTGCTTGCTTCAAAGGAGCTAGAGAAGTCGAGGGAGAAGGAGGAAGCAGCAATGAGGGGCAGGGCCTGCCTGGCTCAGCTCTAGAGCCAGAAGTATGTAGGATTTGAGATTCAAAACAAAACCAGCCACCATTTAAGGAAAATTCTAAAAAGCAGTGTCTTGAGGGTAAGATACAATCTTTATACTCCAGTAACTGACTTGGCCAAGCTGCGCTGCAAGATATACATGACACCAGACAGCAAGAGCCGCACATACACCCACCCCCGACCCTCTTGATGGCAGATCTTCAGCAGCATCTTTACTCATAGAGTCAACATGGTGCTAGGAAGCAGGTAAAGGGCCCAGGAATCAGAAGACCCCATCGCCTCACTGCTGCCTCCTCAACACCACCACTGTGTGGGCAGCCCAGCCAGGGTCATTCACTTCAGTCCACAGCTAGGAAAAAGGAGGCTCAGAGAATTAGGTGGCTCAACAATCAGTGGCAGAGCCAGGAATGATCCCTCTATCTTCTGACTCTTCCCAACCCACGCTATTTCCACTAACCAGTTTCTCCCAAGTTTCCCAAAGATCAGATTCATCTGGAGACACTTTCAAGATACAGATTCCTGGGCCCCATCCCTGGAGATAGGGACTCAGTAGATAGGCAGATTGGCCCAGAATCAGCATATTAACACTACCCCAGGTGATTTTTATCATGACAGGAGTTTGGAAATGCTGCAGGTCACCACGTTGCCTTCTCTATTGGTTTATTTTGTGTAGTTGAGAAAGTTACTTCGTCTCTTAGGGCCTTAATTTCCCCGCCTTTTAGTTGGGCACTACGACAATGACCCATTGTCCTACCCTAGCTGCCTAAAACCTCTTCAATGCAAAGTCTTAATTAAAAAACTGGAGACCCAATTTTCCAGCTAATAGGTGGAATGGAAGATTAACACCAATACAGTACCAGGGTTTGGAGGGGGGACGGTGTGGGGGAGGTTTCGGGAGATACCTATTCCATCTCCATCACTTACCAAGCTGGAATAAAGCCAAGGTTTTAGCCCCTCCAAGCCTCAGTCTCTCCATCTATGACATGGTTATAATTCATACCTTCCTCATAAGGTTTTGCAGGGTTTGAAAATATTGTATGTAAAGGCCTATGTGTAATATTTGTGAAATTGGAGTTAATATGGTAGCTGCTGGTGATAGAAGTAATAATAACAGGAGTTGTTGTTATTGAAATTTTTCAGTCTGGTTTTCATCATTCTGTAAACCAGACAGGGAGATCTGGCCCCGGAATGAGCACTCATTGTGATGTTCACTATTAGTAGGTTTGAGAGCGCCAAGCCAGGAGCTGATGTTGGGAAACCCTAGAGAGGCTTTCCAGTCAATACACTAACATTTGCTTTGTCCTCAAGCCTCATGCCCATGTTGACACAAGTGGCCATTAGAGAATGATGATGAGGCAGGCAGAAGTAATGGCCTGGAAGGAGGCGGCAGCACGCTGGATTTGGCACTCAAGGAGATAGTGTTTTAATCAATTGCAGGCTGTCATTAATGTCCGGGTTAAGGTTGGGCTGAGGTCAGGTGTGTTATCACACTTGGGCCCACCCTCCGAAGCAGGGTGGGGTTCCCAGCTCAATAAGAAATTGCTCTCAAGGTCTCAAAAGCTTCTCATTGTCCTTAACAGCAAGTGTGGTCACCAGCAGGAATTTTATTGTATGATTCACGCTGTGTGCTTGGGAACTATCCAATACTCTTTCCTCTAGAGAGGGGGGAAAGCCACATGAAACCAATTGATTAAACTGATTAATCATTACCGAACTTGAGAACTTTGAAGTTCTGCCCCTGAAATTCTAACTTATAGCTCTTTCTTCTGTTTTCTGAAAGTGACCAAGATGCAAATAAAAAGTAGAGCTGACTTGCTTTCACTTCTGCCTGCCTTTACAGTGGCCATGATTCACTTACGTCATTTACTTTTTGTCTAAATTGAACAGAGTAACAATAGAGGCTTATATACATTATAGTTTTGTCCACATATGGGGATACTGTGCAGTCATTAAAAACAGTGCGAGGATCCCTGTCATATAACTGGAAATATGAGACCACAAAATATTAAGGAAAAAAAGCAAGATACAAAACTGTACATGTAGTAGTCCATGTTTGTAAGGAAAAATATGTGCAAATACTCACCCTGAAGTAGGGAAGGGTACACATGAAAAGATTGACACTAACCCACCTCTACATCAAGGTTCTCTCAACCGTGGCTACAGAACCATGACGAAAACTTCTGTTTCAGTGGGGGAATGGTGGGTATTTTTAATTTCCTTCTTTATGACGATCTGTACTCTCCAAATTTTCTTTAGTAAATATATATTGTTTGTATTATTTTAAAAATGTAAAAAATGAAGAGAGGCAGACGCAAACAGCCATACAGTATTCTTTGTAATGGTTTCTAAAATGGCAATATCTAAAAATCTGACAGTAGGGGAAAAGTTAAATAAAATGTGGTGCATTCATACAATGAATATTAACCGGCACTAAAACTTCATTTCAAAGACTCTCCGACACCACAATGAGGCAGATGCTGTAGACAGGCTCTCTCAATGCTACTCCGGTACTTTCCCTCCTGTACAAGAGCTGCAAGGGCAAAGACTGTGTTCTCCAAACCCCATCGTAGCCTAGGTTCCCGCAGGTGACCTGGCTTCTGACAGCAGACACGGTGGCTGCTGCTTCTGCTCCCATGTCTTGAAGCCCAGGCTGACACCTGCTGCTCCATCCCGGGCAAGGATTCTGTAAGCCACTAAGCTTTGGAGATAAACCCTTCTACTTAAAATCGAAATACATGTGGGGGAGAGGTTTATTATCATGTTTTTTTCTTTCTAAAAAGCGAGGTACAAAACTGTCTACAGCATTATCACAGCATTGTTGAAAAAGAAGAAAAACCCCTACACAGAAAAAGGACCAAGAGAGAGTGCAACTAAGGCATGACAGGGATTATCTTTGGGCACTAAGGTCATAGGAGGATTCTTTTTTATGTTTCTGTATTTTTCACAATTTCTCTAACGCAAGTATGTGTTATTGATAATTTTTTAGAACTTAACTTTTTATAAGAAAGAGCATCTGTCACTGGACTCTCTCCATAGAAGCGCTAAAAGGATTTTGTGGTCTCCTCACTTCCACCTGTGTGTCTCAGCATGGGACATAAATCATGATAATGGTAAATTATGGTTATCATAGTAACAATCCCAGTATAATAATACAAGTGGAGACTTTTGGCCCAGGTTGAATAACTAGCTGGTTTATTCTGTATCCTGCATCCCTGGATGAAGCCAACTTTGGTCCTTTTCCATCTGGAGCTGTCAAGCAGTGAGATAATCAACAAGGTTGAACAAACAGAAAAGCATCTTCATCCAGAAGATGCAACTGGTGCGTGTGGGAGGGCCGCCCCGGCGGCTACACCTTGCATCCGTCCAACCACCGCGCCAGAGTGTCCGAGTTCTGACAGTTCAGGGACCAGGAGTGCCTGTGAAGAGGAGAGTCGGGGAGGGTGAACAGCGGGGACAGAGTCAGAGCTCAGGATCTTCAGGGTTCCACGGGCCCCACTGACCCGTTTACACCCGCAGCCTGGCCCCTGGAGCGTTTGAGCTTGCTACCCCTGCTGTGGGCACGTTTCTGAAAGCTTTTGTGCACCTCGAGTATGTCGCTCTCGCTGTCTCCACCACATCCTAACATGAATGCTAGGGCTCCCTACATCCTCGTGTCCACAACCCTCCGCACCCCACCCCACCTCTTTCTATAAATCCCACATCGTGTGATAGGGAGGCTGAACTGTGAACTGTGAAATCCGCCCCCAAGCCTGCAAGGTAAGTATTTTTAAGTTCTCTAAGTGAGCATCAGAGAAGGTCTGTGACTTGCCCAGGGTCCTATGGTGAGCACTTGGCAGACCCTAGATCTGAAATGGGAGCCCTCGCTCCCTGGGCCAGGGCCTCTTTCACCTTTCCATACACCTGCTTCATCTCTCACCTTCCAAAATTCCTTCCAGCTCCTCAACCCGGCCTTGGTCAGCTAGACTAAGTTTCTCTAACCTTTTCTCCTGGTGCCCCTAAAAGTGACCCCCTATTCCCAGCCCCTCTTCCAGCCCCCAGGTCCAGGTCCTCCTATCCTAACCTAGAAGCTGTGGGAGTCACCAGGCCAGCTGCAGGCCATTAGAAATCCTGTTTAGTTAGCCCCCTCCCTCAGCCGGGCAGGCCTCCATGAGTCTTCCACGGTAGGGGGTCCCACAGTTGAAGAAGGGGCTGTGGCCCTATGACCCCTCATGACTATAAAGCAGCAGGGAAAACACACACATACATATTTTCAGAAATTGCAAGTCTCTCCACAGCCCCGCGCAGGCATTGCAGAAGCCTCGGTCATCTCCCATCCTGTCTGCCCCAACTCTGCAGAGCCACTTGATCTGAGCTTTGGAAAAGACATGGCTGCTTACTAGCTTAAGAAGAGCTCACTTCACTGAGAATCCTGAGCAAGTAAGAAGGTCTTGATCAGCCTGGCCCAGCATACCCCTGCTTAATGCTATACTACAATAAAGATGGGTTTAGCTCATTAGTGCTTACCCTAGAGGGTCAGCCAGGCTTCCAAATTAAATTAATGGGAAAGTTGAGACTATGTATCAAAGATATTTTAAACACTCAGAAGACAGTTAACATTAATAAGGCAACTCCCACTTTAAAATGCAATCTATTAAATTAGTGAGGAAAATGGATTAATAAGTAAGTAGTGTTGAGATCACTGAATAGCCATTTTAAAAATATAAATCTGGATCCCTACCTCACTTTTTATACCAAAACTAATTCCAAGAAGGCCAAAAATTTAAGTATAAAAACATGAATCTATGAAAATTCTATTTTCTAATTTGTTTAACAAAAACTTAACATAGGGCTTATTTTGTGCCAGGCTCTGTTCTAATTTAGAGGAAAACAGTTTGATTTCTTTACAATCTTGGAGTATGAAAAGATCTTTCAAAGAGATTTCATAAAAACTCAGAACCACAAAACAAAAGACTGAGGGATTTGATTCTGTGAAAATGCAAAACTGCTGCATGGTGAAGATACCATAAAGAAAGTCAAAATACAAATATACCTGGAAAAATAGTGCCCATGGATATGATGGACAAAGGTCTAATAACCCTAATTTATAAATGACATGTATAAAATCAATAAAAACAAAAGAAAACATTATCATACCAACGGAAAAGTGGGCTGAGAATATGAATAAGCAGTTCACAGAAAAATGGCCAATAAACCTGTGAAAAGATGCTCACTCTTTTGTAGTTTAAAAATGCAAAATAAAACAGAATGGTATCATTTTACAAGTCTCAATTTCCAAAAAACACACAAGTTTTAATGCTCCAGGCTGGTGAGCTGGGGGAACACAGACCCCTCATGCAGTGTGGTGGCGGTGTCCCCTCTCTGAATGCCAATTTGGCAATCTCTCACCAACTTTTAAATGCACCGAATAGTCCCAGCAAATCTTCTGCAAAGGATTATCCCTAAGGATACGCTTGAAAGAACATAGAAATTCTAAGAGCAAGATGCTCACTGTGGAATTGGTTGAAACAGCAGCAGCAACAACAATGGAAACAACCCAAATCTTCATCATTAGGGAACTGGCAGATAATCCCCTGTAGCACCCACACAGCAGGGTACTAAGCAGCTATTACAGTGATGGAAGAGACCTCTGGGCAGTAATATGCCGGGATTCACGAGCTCTATTAATAAGTGAAAAAAAGCTAAGTGCAGGTCAGTGTGTAAGTTAGGATTCCAAGAGTGTTTTAAAATATTTGTGCATATGTTTTTCTCTGATTTGTAAGACGTAGTAACAGTGGTGAGCTTCAGGAGGCTGCTGATAAGTTATTTTATTTTTGTTTTTGTTTTTTTTAATTGATGTCATAATAGTTTATAACATTGTGAGATTTCAGTTGGACATTATTATTTGTCAGTCATCATATAAATGCACCCCTTCACCCCTTGTGCCCACTTCCCAAGAAGGAGAAGTTTTTTATCTTTCATTTTTAAATATGTATGTATTACTTTTATTTTTAGAAATAATAAATTAAAAAGTAAAAATTTAAAAACGGCTTCTGGATAATAGCCCCAAATGCAGCCTTGGTCTTTCAACAAACATTTAGGGGACATCTATTATGTGCCAGGCACAGAGCTAGATGCTGGAGATACAGAGGCAAGAGAAGCAGACAAAAATCTCCGGCTAAACTTAGCTCCCAAAGACACAGAAAAAGACAAAAAACCAACAAAGGCCCGGACCTCTGAGATGGACACGTCTCCTGTTGCCAGATTCTGGACGAGGTGTCCACGGTCTACAGGGCCTCTGGGTTACAGTAAGGAATGTCACTCAGGCTTCCACTAGTAAAATGAGTCCACCTGCAGGTCCGCCCCGCCCCCAATGACTGACCTTGCTCAAAAACCCTGAGTCTGCCCCCAAAGGAGAACCGGACAGCATCCTTTTGTTGCCTTCCAAATGACCAGAGCAGAGGTCTCCTGTGCACACCATCCCCATCTCTTTGAGTAGCCTGGTGAAAGCTCAGGCTTGGAACAGCACAGATCCAGGATTGATTTCAGCGCTGTGGCCATAGATAAGTTATTCTACCTCTCTGTGCCTCGGTTTCCTCATTTTTAAAATGAGGCTAAAAGTACTCACTGCAGAGAGATTTCTGAGGATTAAATGATGATGTTTATGTAAACATACAAAGCCTATACACTAAAGAAGCCAAGAAATTGTAGCTATCATTAAAGAATTTCTCCTACTATAAGGTATTTTCTATTGTAAGATGCATGAATGATTTATTAACAATTTTAGGGGGAAGACATGTTGATTGCAAAATAAGCCCTAATTCAGATATATTTAGATGTACAATCTGGAACTGAGGAAATATGACATTGTTTCTAGATCTCACTGGAGATGACAATGCCTGGAATAAACTAGACAGTCTATTTGAAATGTGGGATGGAGGATAGGGCAGAAAAGGCAGGGGAAGGTGGAAATTGGTGGTGACAATGTATCTACTGGATAATGTAGGTCAATTGTGATAAATGGTATAGATGGAGGTGGTAGCAGTACATGCTGGAAATGGAGGGCTTTCATGTTCAGCCTATGAGAAAGAGCCAGACACATATATCAGAAAAATCCCCAAATTGGAAATTGGGCCAAGGACATACACACCCATCTATGCCAAGATGGCCATCTGAGAGGAAGTCTGACATCACCCAAGTAACATTGAGCAGAGACAAGAAAAAGTCACATAACCTATCTATTTGGCAAATACTGTATGTGAGCTAATCTGTCCTATTCAATGAAGGATAAAACTAACATGGGACCTGTGGGAAAATATTACAAGAAGGAAAGGGGGCATCATAATGAAATTTAGAGGAACATCCTTCTGAAGATAGCATCCTGCAGGATCCAGAAGTAAATTTGTTAAAACTAACATCCTCAATATGATGCAACTATACATGACCTCTGGAGAAAGCCATGGAAGAGAAGAGGAATAAAAAAGACAACAGTTTGAATGTTAAAAGGAAGATGGATAGGCTAACACAGAATTGCAAAGAAACTAAAAATGTAATAACCAAAATTCAATACCCATTCATGATTTAAAGAAAAACAAAACCTTTAACAAACTAGAAGTGGAAATAAACACTCTTAATCTGATTAAGAGTATCTCAGAAAACTTAAAGAAAACACCACACCTGATAAAATATTGAACTTCTTACCTGTGAGATTGGGAATGAGACAAGGATGCCACTGTCATCCCTTTTATTCAACATTTATTGGCGATCCTAGCCAATGCAACAAGGCAAGAAAAAGAAAGAAATGGTATTGTAGAGCCAAATGTAAGAGGTAAAACAATAAAGCTTTTTAAAAATTAAGGAGAATATCCTCATGACCTATGACTAGGCAAATATATCCTTAAAATAACCAAAAATAACAATAAAGGGAAAGTAATGATAAATTAGACTACATTACGACTAAGAACTTCTGTTTATCAAGACTTCAATAAAAAGGTGAAAAGGTAACCCACAGAATGAAAGGAGATATTTGCAATCCTTGTATCCAACAAAAAAACCTTTATCAAGAGTATATAAATAACACCTAACAAATTAATAAGAAAAAGACAGATAACACCATAGAAAAATTGACAAAAGATTTGAACAGACACTTCACAAAAAAAGATATCTAAATGGCCAATAAACATTTGAAAAAGTATTCACTCTCATTAGTCATCAGGGAAATGTAAAGTAAACCCACAAAGTAATACCACTACACAGTCACAAGAATAAACTAGAAAATACCAAGCATTGGTAAGAATCTGGAGTAACTGAAACTCATAACTGCTGATGGGAGCATAAGTTGACAAAATCCTTTTAGCAAACTGTTTGGCAGAATATACCAAATCTGAAAATATGCATATGCATATCCTATGACCAGCAATTTTATTCTTTGTATAATCAATGGAAGAATCCATTTATATATTCATCAAAAGATAAGTATAGAATGTTCATGGAAGCACTAAAAAAGTGAAAACTACCCAAATGCCCACCAACAGAAGAGTGGATAAATAAATTATGATGTATCCATACAATGGAATACTACTCTGCTATGAGGATGAACAAATCATAGCTACACACAACAATATGAACAAATATAATATCTAGTGGAAGAAGTCAAATATAGGCCCAACCACTTGTAAATTTTAGTAGGCTTTCCTAAGCAAATATCTAGTTAAAGAAGAAATCAGAGTTGCAGTTATTTTGGGCAACAAATACATAACAATCAGTTATTATACCTAACATACAAAGAGTTCTTTCAAACCAATATGAAGACCTGAATTTTTAAAAATAGGCAAAGGACAGGGACAGGGAAAAAAATCACAAAGGAATATAAATATATAACAAACATAATGGGAAAACACTCTAATGGGACATCATACAGTGCAAAAGAAGATAAGACAAAATTGTTATTCCTCTGTCAATGGCAAAGGTTTTGTAATTGATGAGAGTGCGGTAAACAGGCATTTTACTAAACTCTTGTTATTAGTATAAATTGGTACAAGCTTGCTGGAGAGTCATTTCACAATATGCATCAAGAACCTTAAAAGTGTTCAAAAACCTTTGTAGGAATTTGTATGAAAGAAATAATCAGAGATATACACACGAATTGATTTCAGGTATGCTCATCCTAGCATCCTGTATAATCCTAAACAAGACTTGAGGGGGAAAACATGTTCGACTTAAGGCAATTTGTCTGATAATTATTTCCTTCTTCCTGCAGCCTTGGGGTTGCAGAAATCAATGGTGTTCTACTGCTTAACTTGGTGGGTGGGATCCCACTGGTTTGGGACTGCAGACAGGCAGCAACCAAGATTAGGCCAAGATTAAGATTAAGATAATGGGTGAAAGTCATTAATACAGACTATTTAAAGATGTACCACTCACCATGCTCCCATCCCTTCTTTTTCTTTTACAATTTTCTTGACACATTCAATTGTCTTCTTTAAATTCGGATTCAGTAAAGCTGTGGAAAAAATAAAGTGAAATGATACCATACCACCACGTGGCAGCTAAATCCGAGTGCCATCAGGGAAGGTACAGGGTGCTCACGTTAGAGGGGCTTCCGTGTGATTCCAAGAATAAATCTACCCTTAGATTTTTCTCAGACAACACTGGGAGGTAGCAGGAGGTGGTCATCTTCTACGAAATGTATTGATTTTTTTCTTGTAATTCTTATCATAATATTTTCATTAAAAAATATATATATATATAGTGGATATTCTGCGCTAGGCAATATAAGAAGCTGTGGAGATAGAACGACAAATGCAATAAATCTGTCCCTGCCCTCAGACAGCCTGCAGTCTGGGAGGGGATAGATAAAGATTACAGACATTATAATACAAAGGATACCTGGAGTGATGGGGGAATGCAGCTTGGTGTGGGGGCACCTAATTCAGACTTGAAGGGTCAGGGAAGGGTTTTGGGGCCAAGTGACATCTAAAGGAGGAGGTAAGGAAAGGGAGTTCAGGGAATCATAGCAGGAAAATTGTTCCAGGCAGAAGGAATAGCATGTGAGAGGGCTAGAGGCGCCTCTGAAGAAACAACATGTCTATGCATTCATCCTTCCACTCCCTCCTTGGAAGGTGGAAACCAAGACCTCCCACCTGACTACTGCAATACCCTCCTTCCTGCCTACACTAGTCTCCCCCCTTCCCTCATCTAGTCTGATTGCTTGCTTTTCCTTAAAACATTACTTCAGTGCCCCCTAGGTGCCTGTAAAACAGAACCCCAAATCCTTGCCTTAGTCCAACTTTGCCCAACATGCCTTTCCACTTCTACAACCTTACCTTCCATGGCCTTCCTCCACCACCCCACCACTTAAGACACGTCAAGGGGCAGGAGGCAAAGATGGTGCCACCCTGATGGTGGGTGCTCCACCCCTGATACCCACAGCTTGGGGATCATACGCAGTTCCTCTGCCTGGACTTTGTTCATGCTCGTCTCCCAACCTGGATCTGCTCATCCCAACAGTACAGTCCTTAAAAGTCTGTCAGTGACCGCCTATCCCACTGCACCCTCTCCCCTCTTCTGACTAAAATGCCACTTTGATTCAGCACTTATCTGTTATATACACACATGCAAACATACCCACGTGCATACATACATACATACCAATCCCCAGCTACCTTGTAAGGTCTTTGAATGAAGGAGAGTTGTATTCATCAAGCACCAGACAGTAAATGGTGCTCTGACAACTCATCAAAGCCTTGTGGGGTAGGTACTATTCTTATCTCTCTTTCACAGATAAGAAAACTGAGGATCAAATCACATAACTAGTAGGAGGTGGAGCCCAGACTCTGTCTGGCCTCAAAGCCTGTGCCCTTTCTGCTCCCCACCCTGCCAGACAGGGAAGCACCCGAGTCCTCTGCACTGCCGCTGGTACTTAGCACAGGGTAGTGTCTAAGAGGGTGCCTTGCGAGGCCTGTGGGCTGTGGGTACACATTCCCAGGGAAAACGGTTTCCCCTCTATTTAGAATGTCTTCACTTTGGGGGTTTTCTAGCTGACCTCTTTCAGCTGACGGGGCAGCTGTGTTGGGGTCTCAGCTTTCTGTGGAGGTCTCCAACGCACCTCCTCGCCTTGCTCAGGCCCAGTCTACACGGTGACCTCAAACCTGTGCACTAAGCTACAGGGAATCAGCTACAGGGTCATCTTTGGCTTCAATCCTCACTTACCTATCTGGATTTTTGCGCCTCTTTTTAGCCTCTAGGGATTTCTCTAACTTTCTTGCCAGCTAAACCAGGACTTTAAAAGATTCTTTTTCTTTTTTATATTTTACCTAGTGGGAGGATTTTTCAGGATGTCTAGTCCACCATATTTTCATTACAGCACCCAGTACCACCACCTCTACTACAGATAACTCTATGTTTCTCCCATTGGATTCTGGCTGTGTGTGTGTGGGGGGGGGGGTGTAGTATACACACACACATATACATATATATATTTTTACGTACACATACATATATATATATTTCTTCTTATGAGATATAGATTATGGACCTACTGTGTTTCTCTTTTTGCTTTGGCTACCAGGAAGTTCAGGGCCACATTGAAAGTTCCATCACAGTAGTTAAATTACATTCTTAATGTGTATGTCTCCGCTAGACTGTGATCATTGTAATTCACTATGGGCCCGCCACAGTGTTTCACATACTTCCCATTTAATGCCCCCAGCAACGATAAGAGGTTCACTTCGCAGATAAGGAAGCTCTGGGAAGTGATTTGCACAGCTCATGTAGCTTATAGTGGGAGAAGCTGGGATTCCCACCAAGTTCCTGCGTGGTGCCTGCACCTTTCCCTCTGACTTTGCAGTTCTGCTTCTCCTCGAATCTGGAAACTATCTTACTCCTTTCTGGAGCCCCAAGGCGGAGCATGGGACCCGACGCAAGGCAGGTTCCTCCTAGACCACACAGAAGGCTGTAAGCCTTTGCCACAACCTCTCCACTCTGCCTCCTAAAGACCCAGCTCAGAAGCCACAGGCTCTGGGACATTTCTCATCCATCACCGGGGAGGGAGGTTTGCTCAGTAGGAAGACCCTGAGGATGCTGGGGCCCTAAGACCCTCCTGCTGCACAGTGACAGCCTCAGGTGTCGGGGAGAGCTCTGGTTTAGCCCTGAGGCAGGAGTCACACTGCTTGGGTTTGCCTCCCAGATCTACCACCTACCAGCTGTGTGGCCTTGAGCACGTACTTATCCTCTCTGGGCCTCAGTTTCCCTATTTATAGAATGAAGATAATAACAGTGCTCATGTCACGGGGGTGAAGATTAGGCAAATTAATACCTGTGAAGAGCTTAGAAGAGTACCTGGCAGTTAGCAAGCACTAGAATGTCAACTCCATGAGGCCAGGCACTTAGTGGGGGCTCAGGAAATGCTCGTGGGATGAGTGAATCTTGGGCAACCTCCTCTTGACCACAGTATTTGGGACCCCCTACGAGCAGCGGAGCAAGCTCCCCTTGGGAAGGCCCCCTCCTGTCTCCTCCCAGTGACTACTTCTGCCTGTCGAAGTGGCAGCATCTGTTTCCCTTAAAGAAGAGTGTGGTGGCCAAGGGTGGTAAAATCAGGTCCAGCAGAGCCCTCTGCTCTCACCCTTCAGGCTTGGATGGGCTCTGATGCCGGCAGCCTCCTCCTCGCCTCCTCTCAACACCCCGACGCCTTCTCTGCCCATCTGGACGGGGTTTTCCATCGCTCCATCCCAGGCCGCATGCCTGACTCTGCAGCCCTTTCTCTCTGGTACCCTGGCAGTGGGGCACTCGGCCTCCCCAGGGCCCCACCTGGGATTCGGCTCAGCCCAGCCCTGCCAGGCCCTCCTCCTCCCTGCTCCAAACTTGTAAACTCCGGCCTTTGGGAAGGCAGACCTCTGAGCTCACTGCTGCGGCCCCTGGGGCCCAGGTGCGGAATGGAGAGAGGGGACCTACCAGAGCAATACTCGTGGCAGAGGTTCTTGCCTCTGTCGCACCAGTCATTGTCGCGGATCTGAAAGAGGCCGAAGCCGGTGTAGCCCCCACGCGTGTTCTCATAGATAGCCTCGGGGTTGAACTTGCTCTCAAAGTAAGCCAGGCACACCCCTAGGACGGAATAGGTGTATGGCTCAGAGGAGCCTGGAGTGGGGGATGCCTGGGCAGAGGACGGAGGGGAAGGAGGTGAGGAGAGAGGGGGCCGAGGGGGCCGAGAGGGCCTACTCACAGTTTTCAAGGCTGTAGCCCTCAAAATTACTCAGGCCTCCTTCGTGGAGCTTCTTAGCCACCACACAGCGCCCCAAAACAGCAGCGCCACTTGGAACCACCAGGTAGCCAATGAGGGTGAGAACCACGGACACCTTCATCTTCTCCAGGCTCCTGGCAGCTCAGGGTGATAGCTGCCGGGTGAGTGGGCAGTCACAGAAAATTCCTACCAAGATCACAGGGACACTGGTTCCTCTGAAGGACAAGAAGGGCACTGTGAGGGTGGGGGTGTGCAGTTCAGTGTGTCCAGAAAAATGGGAGTCCTGCCTGGCTCAACCATGATACTTCTTCCATCCCAGTTCTCTGTTTTGTGTTACTGCCAACCCCGGATACCTGAGCCCTGCCCCTCCTCCTCCTCTCCACCTCCTATCTTCCCAGGAAGCTGCTCTCCTGAAGGTCTCCTCCCCCACTCTCATTCTTTCCCTCCAGCAAAACCCAATGGTTTCTTGGTTTTTTTCTCATTCATTTCTCTTTAATAGTAGATACAGATGCTCAAATCTCCCCTTCCCCTTTGTTGTGAAAGTAGAACTTGGTCATTAAATACATTTGGGAAAACAGAAAAAGAGAAAGAAGAAAAAAATTCGTCATGGCCCACCCACTGGCGCACAGCCACCATTGTCACGTTGAGTTGTTCCCACCACTGCCTCTTCTCCTGAATGTACTCAGCGTGTGGTCTTACCCTTTACACAGTCTTGGCCCCAGAGTCTCTACAAACCAAACTCCACTGAGCTTTTCTCTTGCTGCCCACACAAGTGAACAAACCCCAGTCCAGCCCAGGCCTGCCACTTTTTAGCTGGGGCATCATCAGCAACAGCAGGCGAGTCACTTAGCCTCATAGTGTCTCTGTGTGTTGGAGATTGTTTGGGAGCACATTTGGCCTCTAGATGCCAGCAACTCTGCCCCCTCAATTGTGACAAACAAAAATGTGTCCAGGGCATGGCCCTATGGCAGAGTGGTTAAAGTGGTTAAAGTTCCACATGCTCCACTTTGGCAGCCCAGGTTCGCGGGTTCGGATCTTGGGCACAGACCTACTTCACTCACCAGCCATGATGTGGTGGGGTCCCACATATAAAGTAGACGAAGATTGGCACAGTTGTTAGCCCAGGGCTATTCTTCCTCAAAAAAAAAAAAAAAAAGGAAGATTGGCAATGGATGTCAGCTCAGGGTGAATCTCCTCAAAAAAAAGGGTCCAGACATTGCCAAAAGTCTCCTGGGGGACAAAACTGGCCCCTGTTGAGAACCAATGTCCTAAATGTCTAACCTGGGCAAATATTAGAAATAAATGTATTCATGAATTAGAAGAATTGCAATTGCAAACATTTGTTTAAACTCTTAGTGCGTGATTAGTTACAGACATGACCAGTACACCAAATGCACTATCGAGGAGAACCTAGCATGTAGGTGCTCAGACTTGGAGTCAGATTGCCTGGATCCAAATCCCGGTTTTACCCTCTCAGTAGCTGGGATGTTAGTGATCCCAGGAGGGGTTGAAGACCAGTCTCCCAGTGCTTCTATTTCCTCATCTATAATAGAGGTTAAAATCGTACTCACCTAATTGTGTTCATTTAAAGAGTAAATGAGTTAAATCTGCAAAACACTCGATCCCCTATGGACACTTGTTTTTCTGAGCTCTTGGAGCACTCCACGCCCTTAGCTTAATAACTGAATTCCAGTGCACGTGAGAGAAGTTCATGTTCACATTTCCCAACAGAGCAAACAATATTTTCAGGCAGTGTCTGTCTCCCAAGGGTCAGGCCCCATCTCAACTCATAAAAGGCCTGCTGAGTCCTCTCTCCTTCCTTCTTCCCAGCAACCAATACATCAGGAGCCCTGTCTCTGTTCTTCCAAAACCTATGCACCTCTCACCATCTCCTTTACCACCATCCTAGTCCAGATCACCATCATCTCTGACTTCTGTAGAGGTTTCCCGACTATACTCCTATAGTCCATGCTCCTTTCTTGTTCCCATCTCTGCATTCTCCACACAGCAGCTAGAAAGGCCTTTTTAAAAACACATATCAAGTCACATCACCCACCTCCAATGGATTCCCCTTGCACTTTAAATAAGATCCCAAATCCTCAACCTGGCGGACAAGACCCTTCCTGATCTAGCCCTTAAATACTTCTCCAGTCTGATTTCACACCTCTCTGCCCCTTGTTCACCTTCACGCCTCCAGGATTCACCTTGTACATTTCTTTTCTTTGAACATGCCAATCTCATTCCCACCACAGGTCCTTTGCACCTGCTGTTCCTTCTGCCTAGAGCATGATTCCCCCAGCCACTCCATAGCTCGCTCTTACTTGTCATAGTCTCAGCTCAGATGAGCTCACCACCTCAAATAGGATTCCCTGACCACTGCCCCATCACAGAAAATAGTTTTTATTTTCTTTATAAAATAAGTCAATTTCAGAAATAACCTGGTTCATTTCTTTGTTCATGTGTCTATCTCCCATCCCAGAGTGTAAACACCAGGAATGCAGACACCTGGTCTGTTTTGTTCTCTGCTTTATCCCCAGTACTTAAAACAGAGCCTGGCGCACAGCAGGTACTCAGTGAATCTCTGTTGAATGAATGAATGAACAAAACCTACTCTTCCCAACAGAAATGTCATAGGATGAGCAAGAAGTGAATTTGCTGATGAGTGCCTCTTGCAGCTGGGTATCGTCACACCTGTCCTGTTTCCTGGCCCCCTATACCTGCTTATCGTCCACCAGTTCTTCCTCCGGCCTTGGTGCCTCCTAGGGGGATGGGAGGAACAGCCACTGCGGCAGGTTCGAACGTTTGTTATAGGAAAGTTGCTCTGTCTACACTCAGTCCCCTGGAGTTTTCAGATGCCACTTCCTTGACAACCCATTTGCCTTCACCCCAGAGCTTCTAAACCAAAAATCCTTCTCCATGATCTGCTCTTCTAGAATTTTTTCTATGACATCAGTTGCTATGCACCAGAATATTCTGAAACAGAGAGAGGTCTGTCACCACCACATTTGTATTAGTTTTCTATTACTGCTGTAACAAGTTACCTCGAACTTAGCAGCTTAAATAACACAAATTTGTTATCTTACTGTTCTATAGATCAGAAGTCCAACACGGGTCACACTGGCCCTGTTGGCAGGGCCGTGTGCCTTTCTGGGGCCTCTAGAGGAGGACCCATTCCCTTGCTCATTGTTGGCAGAACAAAGTTCCCTATAGCTGTGGGGCTGAGATCACCGTTTCCTTGCTGGCTGTCAGCTGAGGGCCTTCCCCGCTGTGTGTCTTGGCTCTACCTCCCTTCCTCCATCTTCAAAGCCAGCAAGGGTGGGTCAGAACCCTCTTATGCTTTGACTCTCTCCTGCCTCTTCTTTCTTTGTTGTATCTCTCTGACTCACCTTCTGCCTCCTCTCCCACTTTTAAGGACACATGTGATCTGATTGGCTCACCCAGACAGTCCAGGATAATTTCCCCATCTCGAGGTCCTTCACTTCATCATATCTGTACGCTGCCTCTGACCATGCCAATAATATATTCAGAGTCTCCAGTGGTAAGGGCACAGACATCTTTGGGGGACCGTTATTCTGCCTGCCACAGCATTCTCCTGGGCCCCCACAGAACTGTCTTCAATGCAGAGCAGTGGGAGTGGCCTTTATTTTGTTCCTCTCTTCACGATGGGGCCGTGGTCAATGACATCCTCTCTTGGAGCCTGGGCAACCTCATTTGTGACAAGAGGGCATCAGATTGGGTTATCCTTAAGATCCCGACTAGCTCCAAAAAGTTAAGAGATGTTGAGTTGATTGAGGATGATGTTAGACTTTTGAAAACTGTGAAGTCCTTCTGGCTGACTCAATTACGACCGGAAATTAGTCGATTAATTAAAAGTGATAAAGTGGAGAATCATAGAACAAAACCAAAAAAAACACCAGGCCACAAACACTGAAACTTAAACCCATGAATGTACATTTGCTTAATAATCTTTAGTAATGGCCTTTTCTTGGATATGAGTTATGAACTGGAACACTAAGTTTTTTGTGTAAATCATATTGTGCTGTATTCCATTTCTAGTTTCTGTATCTTTAAAGCAAAGCAAGAACTTAAAGATGTAGGCAAAGCAATGTCTTCTAGATTTCTCTTCTAGATTTTCAAGTTTTTCTAAACTTTCTTAGTTATATCACCCACACTTATCCCTTTAGCAATATGATTTTAATAATTTGCCTTTATCAAGTTTTTCAAAGCTCTCAACTTAGTTTTGATTATTACCTTAAGCTAGAGTGATTAACTTGTCCCAGTCTGTCTGCCTTAAGCCTTATACCCACGTAATTTACTGGTTAGTACTGGTGGTACATCTCTACTTCCTTTTAACCCTTCAACTGAGTTTACAAAGGTCATTACTGCTACTCATCATGGTAGAGCATTTTGCAACTTTATATACTTTTAAGTAGCTTTTCAAAGATAATCCTGAATTCTTAGGCTTTCCAGAATACCTCTAGTCAAGAGAGACTATGTCTCTTCTCCCAGAGTCAGGAGAGGTGATCAGAGGTCTTTTAGGGTAGTCTGGTTATTAGCCCTCCTCTGCTTCCCTACACCTCCAGCGCTGTTTATCTAGACTTCCATCCCTGTGCAGAGACTTCAGTGCATTCACTGGAGTGCCCTGGGAAGTCTCATTTGCTCTCACGAGGCTGAGGCCCCTCAGTTTGCCCCAGCCCTTGGCCCTAGCTGGACTTCTCCTGAGCCTTCCCCAACAGATGGATCTCCATCTGCTCTGCAGACATTGCCAGATAACACAATCTATAATTACATTTGTATCTGTCTCAATATCTGCATCTATATCTGTGCAGTGTCTGCAAAAAAAATGTCTGGAGACAAGAAGAGATGCTGGCCAATCTGCAGACACTCAGAAACATCTGAGGTAGAAGTTGCCTTTGAAATGATCTGGTTTACCACTTTTCAAAGTTCGTGTTTCTTGCCACGGAGCCACTGATGAAAGCAATCTCATACAGAAACCCTCACTGCTAGCTCACCTTCCTTGCAAGTGGCTCATAGGGGCCATATCGGGGCTTAGGATGATGCATCCAGTTCATCATGTTATTCACACCTGAGCAAGAAATAGGGCCAGAACTCAGGGCTTCTGAGCCCAGAGAAAGAGGGCTGGGAATATATTTTTGGTTATCCAGCTAAAGCCACCCCTCCCTAAAAGAAGGCCAGTAGTGTTTAGGTGTTGGGCAGAGACTTGAATCGCAAAGAAGGTGGGACCTGCCCCTGGCCCATGGATGGTGCATGACCCAGCTCTGGCCAGTAGGATGTAAAGGGAAGTGTGCTGGAGAGAGGGGGCTTCTGGGAAGGATTTCCCCTTGGGCAAGGGAGAGAGTCCCTGCTCTGGGCCACCCTCCTTCCTCTTTGAACTCAGCTGCGCAAGGCATGATGTTTGGAGTTGTTGCTGCCATTTTTTGACATGAGGTGACCTAGAGGATGGCACTGATACCAAGTAAGAGCCTGACCTCACTGATCCCTAAATTGATACCAGCAGCTGCCCACCTCCAGACTTTTTCTTACGCAAGAAACATAAAGCTCTGGTGCGTGAGCCCCCTTAGTCATGTGTTGTACTTGCTGCTGAAACTGTCTCTAACTGATTCGAGGGATTTGTGTAAATCTGCCACACATTTATTTTCAAATCCAAGCATTTTTAGCTGTGGTATTGCTTGCCTAGTTTAAAAATATTCAACTTCATCTGAAATGGCATCAGAAAGAAAACAGCCCCACTTTCTTGTACTCACTGAGTGCTGGTCTGAGGCAAAGTGTGTTCTCAGCCTTGAGAAAGGGGGAGGGAAGCGGAGGTGTTTTCTTTTAGGAACACTCTTCTTATTGTTCATGTCAGGACAGAGCCGCCCTCAGCTACCCACAATGCACTGAAATGGAAGGAAAAAGACATCAGGCTGTGACGAGAGAAATGCTGAACAGCGAGCAGGCAGGGGACCCATCACAACCCACAAGTCCAGGCATGGTGGGAGGCAGCAACTGTTCCCAGTCCTAGGGGCTTGTGGGCCCACATCACAAAGGGGATGAGAAAAACCAGCAGGAACCACCTGACACCAAAGGGCCCTCCGCAAAGAAGGAAGGCTGAAAGGCACAGAGCCGTTAGGTTTGTGAAAGGAAAGGACATCTCCCCAGATGAGTGTGGTTGTGGTGGGGTAACCAACCGTCCCCACTTGACTGGGACTGACGGGTTTCCAGGGATATGAGACTTTCAGTGTTAAAACTGGAGAAGTCCTCAGTGTGGAGCCTCTAAAGTAGTTACCCAAATACATGAGATACATATGAGATGGGGCCCCCACCTCCTCAACCCTCCACCCCCACCACAGGGGAAACAAGCAGCAGAGCCAGCCTGGCCTGTGGTTTGGGATTCAGGCTGAGTTGTTTTCAGTCATTTCATAGGGTCTGAGTGAACAGAAGGCAACGAATGAATGAATGAATGAATGACGCTAACAGGGTAATTACTTATATTTATATGACAGCTCTGTTTCCAGCACGATTATTTTCCATTGACTAACACATAAAATCCCATCAATTGACAAACACTGGTGAATTTACTGCCTCCACTGCTAGGCCCCAAGGGGCAAAGGAAACCCATTTGAGGCCGTGAACCAAAAAAATCACATTCACACGCATTTCATATTTGTACATTTCTGCCTTCAAGGAGCTTGTTTTCCATTTGAAGAGTTGATGTGAGCACAGAAAAGATGAGTTACAATACGGAAGCCTGTGCCCAGTGCCAAAGAAGAGGGGCCCACAGCAAGTGCTGTGCAGACACCGCATGATGTTGAGATGGCGATAGCCTTTCCTGTGGCTGAGGCTCTGGGGGCCATGGCTTGTACAGGTCATCTCTTTTATGCTTCCAAGCCCTGAGAAGTGGGTACTCTTAGCACCCGCATTTTACAGAGGGGAGACCTAGTGCTTGCAGGATCTAGGTAACCTGCCCAAGATCACACCTATAGTAAGTGGCAGATCCCACATCTGTCTGACTCCAGAGGCCATCCTCCTAACCCACTTCATGCTGCTTTGTGCTCCAGGGACAGAACACCGGGGTGGGTCCTGACACCGTGTGACCTAGGACAAGATATTTCACTCTCCAAATCTCAGTTTCTCTATGTGCAAAATGGAGATAGAAATAGTGCTGACATCATCAGGTTGTGTGGAAAGCTCTAGTCCACAGTATACTCTCCATGAAAGCCAAGTACAAGGGAGAGGAGTATCTGGGAGCGTAGTGCAGAGTGGGCATGAGCAGGCCAGACGGGCAGTGAGGAGGAGCTAGAAGGCAGAGGCTGAAGGCTGAGGGGGTCGGCCCAGCAGTTCTCAACCCTGACTGCACATCAGAATCACCTGGGGGGTCACACCCCAAACCAGGTAAATCTGAACATCTGAGAGTGGGACCCAGGCATCAGTATTTCTACAACTCCCCAGGTGACTCCGACGTGCAGCCAGGGTTAAAAGCCCTTGACCTAGCCCTTTGATCCTTGAAGTGTGGACCTTGAAGGAACACTGGTAACACTGAGAGCTTCTTAGAAATGCAGAATCTCAGGCCCCACTCCAGAGCCGCTGAATCGGAATCTGCATTTGAATAAGATCGCTGGTGATTCATGTGCACATTAAAGTCTCAGCATCCCTGGGCTGGCTTGCGGATCACACAGATGGGGAAATAAGCAAAATGCCAAGCAGGCTTTGAACCTGATTAAAATCCAAAGTACAAGTTGGAGGGGAAATGAGGGGCAGCTATTTACAATGATCGCTCATGGATAACCTCATCTCCTGGTGAATGCGAAGGGCAGGGACGGGAGGCCTCCGTGTGTTTAAACTTCAATGAATCTGCA